CCTATAGAAGAGCAGGTTCCACATTCATTGGTTGGAACTAAGCTTAAGGAGAAAAAAAAAAAAGAAAAAAAAAAAAGAGGAATGAATCACCTCTAGACTCGGAAATACTCCATTCTAAAGCAAACTAATGGCTTTCCCACAATAGGCAACTTGCCATAAACTTACTGACCATTACTACCAAGAGCACTGATGGAATAAAGATGCCTTGTTTAAAAGCTTCAGGTCCTTCCTTGTTATCAGACTGTTTTCTAAGTAGGAGTAACTTCTCAGTCATGCATGGAAAATTAAACTTTAAATAAATAAATAAATTCAAGCAAGCTACTCCCTGAAATTTATTTCTTCTGTGTCAACCAGCAGCCTTTCTCTTGTGTGACATGTCAGTAGCCATGAGCAACCTGAATTTGTGTAGTCTAGTTAAGCTAGACTTGTAAGTAACTTGAAAAGGGATGGGCAATGTGTCATTTCCTTTGCAAATGTACGGGAGGTAGAAGTGGAAATGCCAAAGCTTTTTAATGTTAACTCTTGGTTCTAACTGGTGCTCATGACTCATTGTGATGGTGTGTGAGCAACTAGATTGTGCCAATAAAGGAAAACATGAACAGTTTATTGAAACTAATACATGTTTACTTAGGAAACTGTTTCCTGCTCTGATTGCAGGTAGGGTTGAGCTAACTTTGTATTGCTATAAATAAGTTTACAAGCTTAGACACTAAGAGTGTGGATGAAGAATGATAAATATTATAATGCTTCTGCTTGGCAATAAACACATGCCTAGAGCGTTTGCCAGGCAGTGCAATATCTTTGTAAAATATCCATTTGGTGACTTACTATGTCATGTACAACACTGAGGTTAAATGACACTGTCTACTACACATAATACAGCTTTTGCTACTGCAGTGAATTTTTTAACATACAGGCTCCTAAAGTTGTTCTGCTAAGCACTTGCTGTTTTCTGTTGTTTCAGGTTTTGTTGTGTTTTTTTTTTAAGTGCTTGAAAATACATGTGGTGAAAAGTTTATTTTGTTTAACTTCCCATAGATAAAAGTTGCTGCTTTAGATCTCACAGATGACAGAACAGCAGTAACTGAGTTCAATAACAAGAAAGGTTCCTCAGACTTCTATTGAAAAAGAAAAAAAATCTGAATTATGATGAACTGAGATAGCTGTGATAAAAGCATCCACATTAAACTTGGACTTAATTTAGTGAACTGCTAGACCAATAACCAGCCACCCCCTCACTCCTCCTCCTCAGATAGACAGGGGAAGAAAGTAAGGTGAAGCAGTGGCTCGAAATAAAGAGAGAGATCTCTTGCCGATTACCATCATGGACAAAACATGGACAAAACTATAATTGTGAAAAATAAGCTTAGCTTATTGTCAACTAAAAATAGAGTAGGATGGGGAGAAAAATAGAAGACAAAGCTGAAACATCTCCACTTCACCCCACTCTCTTCCAAGGCTCATATTCTCTCCTTTATTTCCAACTCTTCTATCTCTTCCTCAACCTCAGCAGTGCAGGGGAATAGGGAATGGGCATGGTAATGACCATTCATAACACTTCAACTCTGTCACTCCTCCCTCTTCACACGCTCAAGGGGGCCCTCTCCCACAGGATGCCATTCTTTGGGAACTGATCCCACGTGGGCATCCCACAGGCTGCAGCTCTGCCAGCACCACCTCAAAACGGCTCCATACCATGGGACCCATCTTTCAGGCACTGCTCCCCGCAGCTCTCCAATGAAATTTTAAAAAGGTTTTAAAAACTAGAGGCACTGTGAGTGGTGAAACTGGGGGTGAGAAAATGTCATTGCCCATAAGTGAACAAAATAATACTATGCATGGTTTTCAAGCAACCACTGCGTACTTGTAAATCCACTGACTTTCCCAGAATTTCCTTCTAAATTCCAGGTAAAACTTCAGAGCTGTATCAGCCAACACTTATTCACAGTACAAACACTTGATGAAGTGAATAACGTAATTATGAGTGTAAAGTAAATAAAAATGCTTAGCAAGCTTTAATTCCTTTATAGAACAGAATGGGCTCTCAGATGGCATTGCACTCCCAGAGCGGGCTGTGCATGTCTGTGATCTGGCTGCCAATGCTGCACACCCGACATTTCATTCGCACGTACTGCTTGGTGTGGTGTCAGGACAAACCTGTGCAAAGCTGTGCAAACACCGTTCCCACAGTGAGATTCCAGATTTAAATCAATGCATAAGCCTAGATTTTTCAAACACTGCTTTCCTCCCTACACGTCTGTTGAATGGCTCTTTAAATGAGCAATTTCCCACTTACTCTTTCTCTAAGAACTGATGTATAGTACTTGGATGAGGCAGCTGTATTAAATTGAGTCATACTCAGTTTATAGCTAATTTTCAGGTATTAAGCTGACACAAATATGGTAGAATTGCTATGCTTTGCCCCACTGGGTTTCATATCAATGCTGCCACGTACTTCTAAACAGCATTTGGCTGTTTAGGCCTTCTTTTCTCCATTGTCCAGGCTCTTCATCATCACAAGACTTCTTACTTGCATCCTTTTCCTTACTCCTCTTTTTTTCTTACTCCTCTTATTTACTCACTAGAGAATCATGCAACTCTTCTCAAGCAGTCTCATTTTCACAGCATCTAGTAAGATCTTTATGCTTTGCTGCTTGTTAAGTACTTTCATTGTCAGTTTCTTTTTAACCAGAATGACTAACATAACATTACTTCTTAACATGGAGATGACAGAAACTCTGACTGATTAAATTTCCAGCTACAAAGGACCACAGTCAAACACTGCTAGTGCAGAATTGATATCGGTTTTCAGTTTAATTAAACTTGTTGTGGCTTTATACTATATGAGGATAGATTTTTAGCAGAGAAAGAAGTGCAGAGATTTAACCCCCAATCTTAAGTTCAGATTTATTTTTGCTTATACTTGTCAGTAGGTTGGCTCAATTTGTAGATGAAGCTGATAGAAGCTCTTGGGCTATGAATGCATTTAAAGCAGTCTATTTTAGCCATTCTGAGCTCAACACCATGCTAGCATAAAGCAAATCATTGGCTTTTGATCACTAATCATCTCCTTAGAGGGTCCACATCTCAAGATAAGAATCATTCCTCTGAACATTTGTGGAGACCAAACAGCAGAGGATGTGAGCACAGTGCAGTGAAGAGCAGTGCACTCCAATAAGGATGCTGTCATAGCAGCTGTGAAACAGCAGGTCATCTCCACTGATGCAGAATTTTATAAGCACAGCATGCAGGCTCTTGTTCATTGCTAGTGAAAACATTTTACCAATGGTGACGACTGTTGAAAAATACTGTTTTGTGCTGAGAATTTGCTCTATCAAACAGTGGGATTGGTCTCTTTGTATCTGCTGTAGTTTGCATGGAAATAAATAGGAGGCATTTTCAGTGACCTATATATATATGCATTAGAGTGGAAAACATTTATATTGCAAATTCTGAGACAGTAGTTCTTCAAAAGTGCTATTGTTGATTGCATTGCTAATATCTTACTTCAGTATCCATGCAGTACACATTAGCAGTATTTTTCATCTGATTTAACAGCTATTGTAGATAATGTTGTAATAATCACTGTCACCCAGAAGACTTCCAAAGGATGTAGAAGAATGGTTTAGAATGGCCTCCAGCAGCACAAATTCTACCAAATAAGAAAATCCTAACAAAGAACCTTTATGACATTTCTAAGTAAACTGAAAACTTGTAGATAATGTATATATGCGCATATTCTGATTTCAGTCATATAAATGCAGAGAGATACTAACTCATAAGTATATGAGGAAATACTGAGTAATTGACTTTTCTTGTGGCAGAGATGGATAAGCTTCCTTCTCAACTGTAAGAAGTTAGAGAAAATTACAGTTTTCTGAACAGTGGAATTCTTGCATCTTATTGAGAGGCAAAATAAGCAGCTTTTTTTTTTTTTCCTGCCTTTAAGTAGCAGTCCTGATTGCAATTTATACCAAATGTGAATTTATTACATTTTTTTCTTCTATCTCCTTATAATAAAATAGTATGCATGTGAGAAGGAGTAAGAGATTATGAAAAGAAACCATCTTCATTTGTTTCACTTTCTAAAGTAAGTGAATGGCAGAGTACAGTAGCATCCTGTTACCCAACAATAGTAGAACCACTTCTCTTGGAATCCTGTTCCAGTTTTCTTGGGGAAGAACCATTTTGAAATACTCAAGCCAACTCTCTTCTACAGCTGTTACTGAAATAGAAACGATGGTACGCACCGCTACGGCAATGCCATGCTCCTGGTGTCTTCAATGCAAGAACACAACTGAAGTGACATACTGCTTTTAATGCTGGTCTTAGCAGTTTATGTCCCCATTCAATGTCATTCCAGCAGTCTTTTAAACCTAATTAAATAGCTGTTTATCTGGATTCTTTCTACTTGCTCCATGATCTATGCACTTGCCAAAGCTTACATTGGTGTGTGAGTCTAATTTGCTGCATAGCCTGAGACTCTGAAACCTTTTTCCTTAATTTCTCTCACCAGAAGCTGCTTGTTTTTCTTTTCTTAAACTGGATAAATAAAAGGTCCATTTTTTTAGTTAATGGCAGAAAAGTGTCATATGTGCTCTTAATCTTCCCCTGTTGATGCTACACTTACATCAAGGTACATGACAATTTGCACAAATTTATGTGAATAGATTTATTAATAATTATTTACAAATAATTATTTAAAATGTATTTTAAATGTGCCAGTGCATTGGATAACTTGATTCAGTTATCTAAGAAGCTCATTTTAAAGGACCCAAATTGTCCTTTGCTTTTTCCCTCTGCTCTGCCTTTTTCCATGTATTATATTCACCACTGCTGCCTAAGTAGTTTCCTCTGTCTTGATACTTTCCCCCTTTGGTTTTCCCAGTGTGTTTCTGGCACCTGGTCTCTAATAGTCTCCTGAAATGAGGTTGCCACCTCCCTCACACTCCTTTCCCCCCCCCACCCCCCACCCCATCTCCGCCCTCTTTTAAATGCTTATTTGATTTCCCACAGGGTATGGATGATTCAACTGGAAAAAAAAAAAAAGTGGAAGATACGAATTTGTATTCTAGTCTTCTCAAACAGAAAATGGAGTTGTGATGACAAGAGTGTCAGTTTCATCTTCACCTTTCTACAGACACCCGTCTGTTTCCTCTTTGGGTACAGACAGTTGGAAGGACTAATTGGCAAACGTGCAGTTTTAGTTGTCCTTCATGTCTTTTTCCAGAGCTTGAATACTCCAAAAAGCATGCATCTTGGACAAAATTGAGATTATTGATGAGAAACTTTGTAAAATGTCTTTGCACAAGAATATGTATTCTTATAGTACTATTTCTTGTAAGAAAAAAAAAAAAAACCACCAGCATTACAAATGTCCATCTTAAACTGTCATTGAAAGCTAAAATCTACAGGTGAGAGTCTAAAAAAAAAACTAGATTTCTATGCTCTCATCCTTCTCGCATCCTTCAGGCACTGCAGGAATGAAGAAACTAGACAGACTCTTTCGCAGGAAATGACACTTTGTATTTTCCCCCTAGAGATTCAAAACACAAAGTTCTTGTTCCATAGACAAATCCTGACAGCCCAAATGACTCCTTAGTGTCAGCCAGTGGCACTAAGAACATTAGAACAATTGTATCAGGTCAGAGCAGACATCCGTCTAGCCCAGCATCCTGTCTGGCAGGAGCTTAGCGGATGCCGAGGAAAGTATATGAGAACAGAACAAGCACATAACGATGCTTCAAACATCTGGTGATTTGTGACTCAGTGAATTTTATCACTGAAGAAAGTGTATTGGAAGTAAGTAAAAGTCTTGGTAGAGTTATTTACCTGATTTTTAATCCCTTTTTTTATTTTGAATATTATAAGCTTTTCTCCAGCCTGCCCAATAATTCCATAGGTCAGTGGTATGTTGTGACAAGAATGACATCCTCCCCATTTCTTTTTAATCTACCAGCACTATTCTCAGTTGGTCCATAGGATATTTACAACATGCAGACTTGTATCACATCAATCATTACTTTTCCAAACTGAAGAGTCCTGGCACTTTTAGTCATTTTTTGTATAAAAACTGTTTTATACCTTTGACCATCTGTAGTCCTTTGCCAGTTCTGCTTTAGTTTTTGAGACAAAGAGCAGAACTGATTTCATAGATCTATAGAATAACAAAATGGTTTGGGCCGGAAGGGACCTTAAAGTCCACCCACTCCCCACCTTCTGCCAGCCACCAGATAAGGCTGCCCAGGACCCCATCCAAGCTGGGCTTGAGCGCCTGCCTCCAGGGATGGGGCACCCACAGCTTCTCTGGGCAGCCTGTGCCTATCACGGGCACAATCCTCTAAATGAAGAATTCCCATTTAACTTCTAAGTTTCCTCAAATTTCCCCAAATTTCAGACTTTCATCTTTCAGCACTGAGAAATGTAGGCTAATGTTCAACTCTATCAATCATAATTAAAACCCCAGCCTTAATTTCACTGGTAACACAATGGCTCTCAGCTGGCTCTTACTGCTGAGGTGCAGTGGAAGTAGGGCTGACTAAAGGGAAGGCGAATCAGAAGTAAAAGGTGACAGCAAGGTGGCTGCTATAGTTGCACCACTTAAAAGTTGCAGTCTCACACCATACAAAAATGAAAAGCAGTGATCAGGTTCCATCCACACAAACAATGCCCACATAAGTCTGTAGTGATGAGGCAGGCTTAAGCTCAAGCCAGGAATTCATGTCACCAGGTCACAGACAGCAGGAAATGGCCAGACACAGACACAGCTGCAGCATAGCACAGGCCAACTTACTTACCTGAAGCTCCCAGATGAGGGGATGGAGTCCACCAGCCTAGCTCTTCTTGCGGTCCTTCTGCACTGTGATCTGAACTGCATGATGTTGGGCTGAATGCAGCCAGGGCTGGAAGAGGTGGTAGAGTTCCATGTCTTGTACAGAGCCCACACAATTGCTGCTAACAAATGAGAAGGAGGTAGTGAAAATTGCATGATTTTAGCAAGGAAACAGAAACCAAAAGATAATGCATCACGCTGCTGTTGTCATTTACCCATTACAGAACTAAAATGCTCAATTTAAATGCAGCTTTTGTTGTTCTGACTCAATAAATATAGTATATTGTTCACCAGTTCATTTTTGTATGTATCAGGCAAATCTACCTGCAGATTTTAGTCTGAAATGTTTTGTACGATCTCCAAATTTAGCAGAAAGATTTGGCTGCATTTCTTCCATCATTTTGTCATTTATTTGTTTTGAGTTTTATTCATTCTTGGTTGCTCCTCAAATCAAAATACATTTCCACTCCAGGCTGTGGTTCATGCTACTCTGGTTTATACAAATACAGAAAGAAATAAGATAAATCTGTAATGATAGAATGTAGCAGACCATATAATAGCTTAAAAATTGGGAAAATCTTTTTGAAGAAGATTGAGGGGAGAGCACATAATGTTTATTAAAAATAATAATTAAAAAATTTAGATATTTAGATCATTATTCTCTGAAATTGAGAGGTATAATCCTAATACCTTAGTTAAGAGTTTGAATTTAACAACAAAAGAATACCATAGAGGTACAAATAAAGCAAGACAGTTCTGGAGTACTTTGCTGGCTTATATATGTTGTTTGAGGTGACATATCTCTGTGAATATATTCCTGTACCTTACTGAGTAGATTTTTTTACATCAATTCATCTGGTCACCTTAAAAAAAAAAAAAGTTAGGCTTGTCCCAAAATTATGTTTGTACAATGATATTGCCTCAGGTCAGTTCTCTTAGTTCCACATACTTCTTTGTAGTAATTCAGCTGTGAACACTTAAATCACTTATATCAATATTTAGCATTAGTTGCCAAAATGAGAACTTACAGAAAAGTTATCCACTGGTTATGAAAGAATTGCATTTTTTCCCATAGAAAAAGCTACAGAAAACATTTTTTCTGTTTGCAAGAATTTGGGAGTAAGCTGTAGCTGGAATAAATGAAAAAGGATGATGAACGATCAGAGCTGTTGGAATAAAGCAATGTATGATAATGCATCTTACCCACTACATATAGAGCTTCACAAAATGACTCACCACTGACAGCAATAAAAATTTCAGGGGATAGGCGAGGCCAAGGTGCAAAAAATGGATGTGTTTTGTTTGCTTTTATATAATATCTTCCTTCAAAATAATTGTATGCATCAAAAATAAAACATACTGAAAGATTGTGCCATTTCAGAGTTACATGAAAAAAAATATTGACTGAATCTGACTGGTACTATTAATTTTCACAGAACATACTTCATGGAACACTAAACCAAAATATTTCTTAGCTGCGGCTGCAAATTCATTACTTCTATTTGTAATACAGACAGAATAAAAATATTTCAAAGGATAAAGTTCTCCATTTTCTCTCATTCACCTTTGAACACACCCTGAACTGGAACTGAGCTGGAACAAGCATGGCCCAAACAAAAATAAGACAGATGTTGTTTTCTTGCTAATATTTCTGTTTACAAAGGCTTTATTTACAAGCTTATCCACCAAAATTTAAGGAACAGGAATTCCAATTGGAAGAGCCAACAATCTCCCGAGAGCTGATGTTCTCAAGCAATCATGAAACTCTGACATTAAAAAAAATGCTGGATGTTATAAAGTTGTCAATAAATACACAAAAACACTTAAAAACCTTCATCCCAGAGTTGAATGAAAGTAACACCAGTATGTAAATTGTTATGGTCAACTAATTACAGTATTTGCATTTTAAACAACACACGGAACAAAATAAGATAAAAAACAATCTTAGCTTTCTCTGGAGTTACTTTCTTTACAGTATGAGGAAAACTTAGTCTGGAATGTACCTTGCCTATTCTGATTTTAAGGCGTGTTTGTTTGTATATTAATAAAACTACATATCTAATGTGAAATAGTATTTACAGAGCAACTGTGCCCTGGCACCAGTTTAGCTGTTAAGTCTGAACAAAATTTATGTTTTTGTGAAATACGTTTTACTAATTGGAACGAAAAAAAAAAAAACATGCTCAACAAAATGAGCTATAAATATATACATACATTTGTTCTGAAGCTATAAATATATAAATGCTGTAATAAAGAAGCTTATGACTGCCACCGTGTTTACCCATCATGTTGCATTCATTGTGCCAACAGCGTATACTGCTGAAGAAACATTAGCTCCTGTAAGCATCTGTGCATTTTACTGTCAACAAAAGTGATGGAGTAAACAGCCATGTCTTGGAAAGCTTGGGTATACGGAAATGCCAGTCTCTCCTTTTTTCTAGCCAGTATTCTAGCATTCAAAGCAAATGCAACAAAAGCATTCCTTCCTAAATGCTAGACTTGCTCTCTGTTCTGTTATTTCCCTTAGTGTCATTGAGTGGCTCCACTTTAGAAGCTGTTGCTTTGTGGTTTTTACAGTGAAGATGATAACAGAGGTGATTTTGCACAGCTTCCTCTTTCCCCCATCATTTCCCCTCCCAGATCACTGAAATGAATATTACTTTAGCTAAATTAAATTCTCCATTGCTTTTAGTTAACCTTTCAATGCTTTTATTACTAGCTGTTCTTATCTGAGTGTAACTTAATGATAATGACTACAACAGTGGAAATAAGCTGCTTCTGAGGATGAGATGCCATCATCTGATCTTTCCTCCTTCATTTATTTCTGTCTTTACTAGAACGTTTCTTATCAGCTTGCATTGTCAAGAAAAGTAAACTATTTTCAAAGCCCAATTCTCCTTTTCTGAATGCTAATGACTTGGCACCGAAGAGATTTGACATAGAGCCACATTCACGCATTACTTACATGAGAACTGAATAAGAAAATGTACAGTTCAACTCTACTGTGTTTTTCATTTGAAAAAGAAGCAGAAGAGATAAATATAGCCTCAGTCTTATAAAGAAGGTCTTACAAGAGTGTTAAATTCTACATCTGATGCATTTTAGTTATTACATCTGAAGGTGTTTTTATCTCCACTTTAGTCCACTTAAAGTTGCGTAGTTACTTCCACTATATTAAAAGCTATTCTCAGGAAAAAAAAAAAAAAAAAAAAAGGGAAAAAAACCCTTACAAAATAACATGGTAAAATTCCAAACTCTTTCTCTCTAGTTTTCATGCAAATTATTGTGGTTTTGCTAATTATGACTCTGAACAGTAGCCTACCCTGAAAATTGAACTCTTCTTTTGAAATCTAAAACTCTGACAGCTCCACTGTTACTATCCACATATCGATAATACAACATTCATTCTCACACCCCTTCATTACATTAGCAAGGCTAACAATTGTTAACAGTAGAAAAAAAAAATATTTTCACTAAAGGAAGCAGAAAGAATCTGAAAACTGAAACTTAATAAAAATACTTCTTATTTCTGCTACCTTTTCAAGAAACATGATGACACTGAAGCAAGAAGTACTCACGTGGCTTTTAATACACTTTTCGATTTATTAAGACTCATCAATTATGGAAACGTAGCTTTCTCTGGAATGAATAACAGTAGATAATTGCTCACAGAGACTAAAAAGTGTGTTTTTTTGTTTTTGTTTTTAGCTGGGAATACTTTGTGATCCACAGAAAAGAAAAAAAAAAAAAAGTTTTTAAAATACATTTTTAAAAAGCCTTAGTAAATGCTAACTGGTGCTTATCCAGTCTATAGCCAAAATTGTATTGTGGACTAACATACCAAATCAAAGGTCAGTTATATACTGAAATATACAGCAATGACTCAATGCCCAACTTCCACTTTTTGATAAATTTGCCCATTATGAGTGACAGAAATGTTGCCACTCATCTTGCAGTTCTCTTCTTAAATACCTTCCAGTTCTCTGAAATAAGCAGCCTGTCTCCTTTTAAACAATTGAGTTTGTGCATGAGAAGGACGCAGAGAATGTGTATAACAGATGTGATGAGAGCTAGCTGAGTGTTTCTGCTGAAGTGATTTAGTGACGCAACAAGTACCAAATGCATTTTTCTTGGGGAAAATTTTCGAAGTCTTGATTTTCCATCAGAAATCTCACAGCCAGATACTTCATTTTGGTTTCTTTTAATCCTAGCTAGAATGTTTCCTGTGCTAGATTTCTACCCTCTGCTCTGCCTCCAGAGTCACAGATGGGACCATAAAGAGTTCCAGAGAATCACAGGAATTGGAGATTGTAGGTGCACAACAGGCACTGTTGTCTGGCCACAGTGTCTGAGGTTTCATAAATCTGCTATCTTGGTTTTACCCTAGATATCACCTTGCTCCTCAAGGGTCAGATGCGACAAGGCAAAATAAAGATTAATGTTATATAAGACTGAAATTAAGCATTTTATGTCATTTCACTTAACCAAGAGAAAATAGTTTGATTTTCAGTGTTTTTGAAAAGCCTTGAAATTACATAACTGATTTTTTCTCTTAAACTTTTCAGAAGTTTCTATTTCAGTGGGGAGAGTAAATAAAAATCAAGTTCTTTAGACTATCCCACAGAAAGCTGTCAAATTTGTCAAAGGATACAGTCTGAAAAGTTGCCTTGCAAAACTTCTTTGCCTCATATATATTCCCCTGCCCTGCCCTCCCCTCCTCCCCTCCCCCCCCCCCCCCCCCCCCCATATTTACTATTGCCACTATAGAGAGCAGCTATGTGACATCCCTTCAAGAATACAGCAACATGTGAGCAATGGAGAAGAAGGTAGAGATGACCAACTCCTCCAAATAAGAATTTAAGCCAGCCCTACAGCTTTGATTCTGGAGAGAGGAAGAGATGAAAAGTAAATGCTGGGAAAGCAAATATACGCCTGTTAGGATAGGTAGCTGCATAACAAGAGAAAAATATTTCCACTGAACTTGGACAACTGAGAAAAGCAATAGCTGCCTGCAGACATAGAACACTTCTAATAGGGTCAAAGTAATTTCATGCTTGAGGAACTTGGTTAGACTTCTCAAAAGAGAAGCATTTAATCCACCTAAAATGGATTGCAATGAAATTAACCCAGACTATTATTTTGTCAGTTTTGTTGTCTTTTAATTGCAGGAAAATCTTACAGTTTCTGGAAAATTGGTTAAGGGTATTTTTCCTTTTTTAAAATTTTGTTGTTACATTTCACACTTGATCTGTAAGGTTGAGCCATCCCATCTGGAAATAACACCTACAGATAAATCACGTCTAATTTGGCACAACAGAAAATACGATTGAAAATGAGGTATGATAGCCTCTTACCATGCAAAAGAAGGAAAGACTTAAACAGGCATTTCACATTGCTACTGGACTAACAGATGAGAGCACAGCAGGCCAGCTGAGGCCATAAAGGCAGCACGTAATGATCTAAACTGTTTCTATCTCACAGATCTAATTTTCAGGGCTGAAGCCATGAACCATCAGTGGTGGTCATTACCACTTGCCACTCTAGGATAATCAAACGTGAGTGTTCTAGATTTAAAGGCTGAATCTAAACTTGCAAACTAGTCAACACAACAAGGCCTTTGATGTGGTCCCACACAACGTCCTTATCTCTGAATTAGAGAGATGGATTTGAAGGGTGAACTATTCAGTGGATAAGGAATTGGCTGGAAAGTCACAGCCAAAGGATTGTCATTAATGGCTCTATGTCCAAGTGGAAGTTGGTGACAAGTGGTATTCCCCAGGAGTCCATGACACAGATAATGGGATTGAGTGCACCCTCAGCAAATTTGCTGATGACACCAAGCTGAGTGGTGTAGTTGA